TTAAATTCTTATCCAGATATGCTGTATTATTCCAACATGATATGTTCAGATACGTTCCAGCCTTTACCTATAGGTATTCCTCCAGGAAAAGTCCTTTGTATATTTGTATCTTGGCTTCTTCTAATATTTAATGTAAATAATTATGAAGGCTTGCATACAACTAATGTCACACAAATGAAATAGCATTATCTTCAAATGGAGTAATCTTCAAATTCACCTAAACATGTTCTGTCTTTCTGTTATTTATATAAACACAGGTGATTTAGACATACCCCTTAACGTAACCTAAACAACACATGTTATGAAAAGGAAATGGAGAAGCACTCTGGGTTCCACCACTGTCCCATCATACTAAACAAATCTTATCTTCATCTCTTGCAGAAAAGGTTTGAGATTTTCTGGATTTTCTCTTTTTATTATTTCTGAGTAAAAGTGCTTTTAATGTCAATAAACAGGAAGAGAAGTCAAAGCAGTGTGGTCTAGAGGAATGAGCAGAGCTCAGGCAGGCAGTCTTCAGTAAAGCTCACCCTTATGTGAAGGACACATCTGGAACACTTTAAAGTCATATTCAAAGATGCAGTTCGGTCAGCAAGGGAGACTTGATGTGCAGGGGCTCTTTGTCTGCAGGCAAACACTGTCCTTTAAAAAGTAACATGCTCCTTTTAAACAGATACAGTTGATGTAGGTGCCAGTATAAGCACACCAAGCACTTTGCAACCAAAAAGTGAAGCCAAACAGTGGATAATCTAAAAGCCATGGGTGTGAAATTTGGAAGAAGAGCAGGACCCAGTGAAGCTGCAGGTGGCTGGGATCACTGTGGAATTTTTACAGCTTCAAACACAAGTGTCACACCAGGCAGAGGGTAGAAAATGGCTCTTGCTTATTGGATTGAGGAAATCTTTCCAGAGGATGCCACAAAAAGCCACTGACCAGCAACCAGGAGTCATCTGCCTCTGGGTCTGAAGATGCTTCCTATGTTTGTTCTGCCTGCCTGAATAAGAACTGCCACTGTGGTTTTTTTTATATTACTATTTTGTATTTTCTGTGATGCTTTGTTGGTATCAGCTGGTTTTATCTACATTTTTTTTTTTTTCTGAGGGAGGAAACAGCAAGGCATGAGGAGGGGAGAGGAGGAAAGAATTATTTACTCCCAGTTACATCACTTTAACTCAAGAGTTTGCTTAACTGAGCAGTTGCAAAGACCTGTGCAACTATCTTTGCTATATCTCTGCTAGTAATAAATACAAACTGTGGACCTTTAGTCCTGAGACCAACTGGCCTGACCTGGTTTATAGCTGATGCCCCTCAGACTTACCCCACATTCCCTGGGAGGGTGTGTGGGCAAAGCCAAAGCATGAACCACGGTAGCAATTTAAAACTGTGGATGATCATGTACCAGTGTGTGACTCTGTGCCTGTTTGACTGACTGGTATAGATGTAGCTCACTCTGGCCAAAAAAGTGATTTCTCTGGCTTACCTTCTATTGCTTGGGGACAGGTTGTACTAAACTGTAATGGCCAGGAAGGCAGTTCCAACAGTTTTATTTACTGCTTTACAAATTGATAGAAAACACAGTAGTTCAATTTGCCCTAATTAGAACTAGACTCCCAAAATTTTAAACTGGTGTGAGCTTATACACAAAACCTTAACTAAACAGACTGAAATGAAATGGATGCAAGGAGTAAGTAAAATTAAAGGGAGATTTGAAGGAAGAGAAGATGGAAGGTACTTCTTTCAAGTCTGTCTTTAAGTGGCCTGAGTAAGAAGGCAGGAAGAAGGGACTATGGGTGAAAAAACCATGAAGATTGAACAACTTGCTAAATGGAAAAATAAGAGGAGATTATGGTAGTTAGGAAAACATGGGTTTAAGTGCACAAAAGCTCAGAGACTTGAGCTCAGGAAGGTAACTGTGATGCAAAAAGCAAAAAGGTTGTGCTCTTTGTAAGCAATGGGCAAAAAAGCAACATTGACATAGCAACAGCAGAATTGTGCCTCAAATGATTCCCTCATTTTAAAGGCTTGAATGGATGCCTCTTATCTAGGATAAAGTTTCAAGTTTTCAGGAAATTTTATTACAAAAGAATAACATTTTCTGATATAATAATTTGAAGTTAAAGCAGATCTAAAAAAACCCCCAAGCTATAGAAAGAATGTATACACCCACTGTCTGATCAGACAGATTTATGTAAGAAGGCTTTTTAACACTGTTACATTTTATGTGGGAGTGTCTTTGTCTGGATGTGTGTTTGTCCCCTCTGCTAGCAACACTGAACCCTATGGCACAGGTAACATTCTGAAGCAGATAGCTTGGGGTCAAAACTGGCCTTACTTCACCTGCACTCATTGTATGATGGATTCTCCCTAAAATGTTATTTTCCTAAACAAAACAAAAATCTTTTCTCCTAGAAACTGTTCTATTTGGCTCACAGTGGAAGAGGAAATACAGGAAAAGAGAATATAGTGCTGCTTTACTTACTAATGTTATGGTACCTGCATAAATAACTGAGTGAAGTAAGAGCATTTTTCAAATCTATGTTTTACACAGACACTGAAATAATCTTGGATAATTGCACTGGAGCTTTATTTACTCCAACGTGGATCAAAGAAATTGCATCACAGCACTCTGGAAAATATTGACACCCCTGCTCTCGCAGTATTATTACCATGGCAGCCATCAAGTCATCTGAGGCCCCTTCTGCACATTCAGATAGGAAACACTTCACCCATAAGTCTGTGAATATTTACTTATTTTATAGAATTGCAGAATAGTTTGGGTTGGAAGGGGCTGTTGGAACCACAGTTCCAACCCCCTGCATGGGCAGGAACATCTCTCACTGGACCATGTTGCTCCAGGTCCCAGCCAACCTGGCCTTGAACACTTCCATGGACAGGGCATCTGCAACTTCTCAGGCAACCTGTTCCACTGTCTCACTACCCTCATAATAAAAAATTTCCTCCTTATATCCAAACTAAGTCTACCCTCTTCCAGTTTAAAACCACTGCCCCTTGTCATCTCACTACAGGCCCTGGTAAAAAGTCTGTCTCTGCGTTTCTTATAAGCCCCCTTTATATACTAAGAGGCCACAGTAAGCTCTCCCCAACACCTTCTCCAGGCTGAACAACCCTGACTCTATCAGTCTTTCCACGTGGGAGAGGTGCTCTAACCCTCTGACCATTTTCATGGCCCTCCTCTCAACCAGCTCCAACAGCTCCACGTCCTTTATGTGCTGGGGCTGCAGTACTTGAGGTGAGGTCTCACATGAGCAGAGTACAGGGGCAGAACATGGGCTGCAAGTTCACTTTGCCTGTGAATGTCCCATTTTCCACCCACCAGTATCCCCAAGTCTTTCTCCACGGGACAGCTCAATCCATTCATCTCCCAGTTACTTGTGCCATTGCACTTTACAAGTTCTTCTCAATAGCGCACAGCTGGAGAAAAAGAAAAGGAAACATAAAGAAACAGCAACCTAATCAAACATCCATTTCTGCCTTACTGCTTTGGAGACAGAAGGCAGCTTATCTTGCTTTTATTTGCATTAAGTGTGCCAGTATAATTTGTGTAACTCTTAAGAACAAGGCACGTTATCATTTTTGTGCTGTGTTTAATTGATCTGTTATCTGCTGCCGCTGAGTCAACGTGGGAACCCTCAGCAAGGTTCACAGCAGGGTGTGGAGCAAGATTGTGACCTCCCTCTTTGGTAACTATTCCTCAGGTTGTTTTCAGAGCCTCGTACTTCAGCTTTACATTGGCTCTGGCACTTCACAGCCACAGCTAAGAACTTTTGTAGAGATATCAGAGTCCTCTCTGCATGAATCACAACACCAAACGCAACAGAACTGTCATTCCTTCTGTTGATGTTTGGGTTGACTTCCATGGACTTTAAAAACCGGAATGGCCTTTTCAGAAAGTGAAAATTAGCTTCTCAGCTGGAAGCAAAGTTCAGGCATTAGGAGGAGAAATATTTTTTATTTTTCCTTGGAAATTTAGGTGTTGGTCAAATCCAAAGGCTTGCTAGAATATGATCCTTTACGAGATGTTTCACTTTGCTTTGGTACTTTGTCAAACAGCTCTTCTCTAAGTAGTTGCTGGCTCTGAAGCAAGAAAAAGAGTGCATGTTACTGTCAACACTCAAAGTTGTACTTCCAGAAGGAAAGTCAGAGTACTACTGGCCATCATGGTGAGACTGGAAGCTGGCAACTCTGAACCCTCATCAATCTTTTGCCAATTTCTTTGGAGCTGGGAAGAAATCTCACAGACTGGCATGATTTGGGTGATTTACAGCAGCCAGATGGAAAAGCTGCAGCCTGTGATGGCTTTACTACTTCTTAGCTGGTAAGGATCTCAAAAGAAATCTTTTTAATAGACACAGTTGTGTGTAATTAAGATAATTTTAAAGTATGTTTATCTATCATAAAGATAATACTAATGAGATATCTGTTCTTTATAACTTGGAAAGCAGCAAGAACAGATATTTACTTGTAACTTCTTCCTGTGCTCTCCTTCCAGTGCTCAGTGTGACACTGGGAGTGCCCTCCTGCACTGAGCAGGCCTACCTTTGTAACACAGACATTTATTTTTTACCAGGGCTTATAAGGATCTGGCAGGGATGGACAGCTGAATTCTGCAGGAGAAAATTTGTTCATCAAGTCCTCACTTTCCTCTGAAGAGTAAGGAAAATATTTTAAATTACTTGCTATTTATTTACATTATTTGTGTCTTGTGTGGCATTAAGGTTCCATCACTCTATGCACTGCACCAACAGAAATGGTCCACAACTCTGTAGAACAGCAGAAAACAGGGAAATACAAAGTTTATCTGTAACCATGAAGTATAAATGTGAACAGCCATGGTTCCTATAACCTCCAAAGGCCTGTTCCTATTCTGAAACACAACAACCACTTAACAATTAGTTTAGACACAGTTTAGGACTGGTGTTATTTGCAGACACAAAGTACATTGATGGTATATTTTTATTTTTCTGTCATCTTTCCTGTGTCGTATGGACGAGGTGCTGAAAAGTCAGTCAGAACCTACGGGCCTAGAGGTGGGCCGTGGCTTGGTTTTGCCTTGGAAAGCTGCAATGCAAATCTTGTGGCAGTTCAGATGTTAATTTATGAGTCCTTTAGTCACCCCTGGAGCCGGGACTGAAGGGGCAGCTGTCTGAAGTGAACACGGTGGCCATCCTGTGCAAAGCCTTCTGATAGATCAGATGCCTCAGCCCCTTGGGACCTTGGGAAGAGGGTCTGTGTGCCCCTCTCAACAGCCGTGCTGCCAAGGAGTTTTATATCTTTTATACCTGCACCTCCTGCTGTGAAGGTCTGAAACATCAGGCTGCCAGGAAGGGTGTTGTGCCTCTGTCCGTGAGCACCAGCAAGCCCACGGTGAAGACCTGCAGATGAGCGATGTCCAGAAGTGCCACAGCCCCTGTTTTTTCACCACTCGTGGGTCCCCAGCACCACCGATTTCAGAGCACAGGGTAAAACCCCAGATGCGAAACGCTGGGCACAGGCAGGAGCTGGGTTTGCCTCGGCAGGCAGGGCAGCAGCAGCC